AAAACTTCTCGGGATCGCCTTCTTGTGGAGTCTCCATTTCTGATAATAATATTATTAATTCATTTTGATTATCTAATTTATTTTGTGAAACATCGACAAGAAAGGAATTTTCATAAATGTCCAGCATTGGTATTATTACTTCATAATCTTTAATCGCTGTTCCACATTAAAATAATGATTATCAAATGTAGATATATGTTGATGTTATTTAAATGGAAGATTTCGTTATGAATTTCTGCTGTTTTGGGGCAATAGTCAAACTTTTCTAACTTTAAATATATTATTTTATAAAGTTACATTAGAGTGTAAACGAATAAATGAAAGTATGGATTCAAAGATATTATAATTCTCGTCAACTCATCTGTACAAAATACTTTGTACATATTTTTGAGTGCGGTTGAAGCGCTGGGAAAATCTAGCAATAAACAAAAAATATTCTAAAAATACATATTTCCCAGCAGCAAAATACCACATGTGAACAATTCCGTGATCTTGTGCGCTGACGCACACGATAATCTGTGAGATAAAGGCCTGCACAAGACGAATTGTATGAATTATGCTTTTTTGACACCCTGACTTCGTCTATTCAATCATGTCATATGTGTTTGATAGACAATGACAACCAACAACATCCCCCCATTTTGATTCATGTGTGCCATTGTCTAAGGTTCGATCGTGGCGAGGCTGACTCGAATATTAGCATGGTGACATCGAACCATGTCATCGTCAAATTGTGTGTCATTTGTGTACGTGTGCTTAAATTGAGAGAGTATGTGTGTGTTACTTTCGACGGTGAGGATGTGTTTTTGTGTGTGCTGCAATTTTGAAGTAACAAACACGGCATACATATAAAAGTGAGTACGAAATCAATAATTAAAAAATATTCTTTATGACGTAGTTGAGGGCAGAGATATTAAGAAAATTTATCAGTTTTTTTAATAAGGATTGACATTTTGGATTGTTTCGTCAATAACCGAAACGTGAAAAATTTGTGTGGACCAATTAGAAGTACCTGTAATATGTTATTATTCGCCAAGAAATACTTTATTACAAAATATGTATTTTTTTACATATCGGAAAAGCAGGTAGCGATTGCGCTTTGCCTTCATCGTCTTTTTCGTTAGCAATTGTTTCATTATTGTTGTAATTTTTGTATAACACACTATTCAACATCCCCTTTTATTGGTCATTACATGTTATGACGATGGGTTTGAGTCTGACCGACATAACGAGACATCGAGCATTTGGTTGGATTCCACGTACTGTTATGCGTTTGATCAAGCAGGGCACAACATGACGAGCGTTTTCTCTCCATGGCATAAATAGAGAAATATGTCACAGCCCTTTAGTCACACAGCCCTTTAGTGTGAGATAATAAAGATTGTGACCCACACGCACAGATATCGATGCGCTCAGTAGATGTACAATACCACTTGAATGAAATGACAAGCAGCCCTGCAATGTTCTCCGTGCAATATTAGAATAGATAAGGATAATTGGTGGCTGCGATTAGGTTAAGTTAGATTAGTTTCAGTAGTACTTAAGGAATTCATTTTAAATAAAAACTAGAATTGAAATTACACCCTAACAAAGCGGTCGTGTTTATCTTATCACATTACATTGCTCCAGCCGAGCCGGTTATAGAATAGACATGACAATCGAAGTTGGAGATTGGATTTCGTTCTCATTATTAAAAACATTAATCCTTCGAGCAGGATCTAGAATCGAAATTACACCCCACCGAAGCGGTCGTGTTTCTTTTCTCGCCTTAAATTTGGTTCTTCGATCCGAATACAGAGAATTGAAATTACACCTTAACGAAGCGGTTGTATTATTTTCTCATTTATAATTGGTCCCTCGAGCCGGGTCGAGAATTGATTCTACAGCCAACCCATTCTGTTGTGTTTCTCTTCTCAGCGACCACAAAAGAGACAATTGTAGGAGTTTTCCCCCACCAGTGCACAGTGGTCGAGGCCGCATGGGAACAGCGGCCAAAGATACTTTCAGTGCAGATATCAACATGAATCTTTAGTTATGGTACCTTGATGTAATAAAAATAAAAAATGTGACAAAATGGATATGGTAGGTGGATGTTTTGGCATAGTCCCCTTACAACAGACCTCCCGCTTAAGGGTTATTTCCCCAATTCTTGTCACATTTCCACACCAGATTGTTCTGTTATTTGACATTTTACGTTCTAAAGTGTTAAAAAATAATCTTACTGAAAATTATCTGGAACGGACCGCCTTCGAGTAGGGGGACTCTACTCTAAAGGTACCTCCAAAAATAGAAATATTTTTTATACAAATAAATTCCAAATTTGATTATTTTTTTGTAAACAAAATAAAATAACAATTCAATATAAAATTAAATCAAATTGACTAATGGATATTTATAAATTTCAGTGTAATACAAGTAAATCAAATGCAGATTTTAATAATCTAGATTTTTTATTCTTTGGCAACGTTCGCTGTCCCGTTATAAAAGGATCAGAGCTTAGAAGAAGACGATAATTAAGAGCTGTGTTTGTTGAAACACGAGAATCGTTTCGGGTATGATTTAGTCGAAACTTTTTTATATCTTCATTTCTAGACTCCACGTCCTCATCCTATAATTCTCCAATCGATACAATGACAAATGTATAATGTCGGGTACATGTATTAAAATTTTATGAACTGTGGGTGGAAGATAGTGCCATGCATATATATTTGTTAACTCTTTAGCTGTTTCCAGTGCAAAGGCCGTAAATTTTTCGACATTAATATTGTACCCAGAAGACAATATTGAACACCCCTCAATTATATCTTTATCAATCCCAATCAATAAACATATTCGATGTCACTAGCACCATAAAAATGACAAAATTGCAGCGTAGTCACTTCAGTATATTGGGCATAACATACACATCTGACAAAATCTGAAAGTTAAATTAGTACTTTTAGAATCTTAGGACCATTACTAATGGCGTAAAAAAAATCACATTGGAGGATAGAATGAAGCCAAGATTATTATATTTTCTAAAAAGCTTAACCCCTTAAGAGTTCATGTGTACACATTTGACAATGAATATCTGATTTTCATTTTTTGAATTTTGGCCAAAGGCAGCGACCACTGTGCAGTGGTAAGATACTCACTGCAAGCAAGAAAAAGAGGAGAATTTAAAAAAAATCCTGTGAGGCATTTTAAATGTATGACCATTTAAAATAACCGAAGAGACTGATTTAAATAAAAGAACCAGAAACAAAGAAGAAAATTTTAAAATTACAAACAGAAAAAAACAAGAAGGCAATATAAAAAACAGTTTTGAAAAGAGGACAAAGAGTCCCATCTGTACTTTTAAATTTAATTAAAAATGTACAAAGACAAAGCTGTCACCATTTTGGCAGACTATTTCGGGGTTTTGACATCGACGTCAGCCTTTGAAAATGTGAAACACGTCGTGGCATGGAAAGTACTGTTAGAAAATACATATTACCAGTTACGACGGTGCTTGAGGATATATACCAAAAATATCTCCCAAGCCATGCATGGAACCATATAACTACACATCACATTATTGAGGTTGGTAAAATAATTTTTCCCACATTTATCTATAGAATTTTATAGCAAACTTTTAGCAATATAAAATAACAAATTAATATATTAAAAATTTATCACCTGCATAAAATTTTTGTGGTAGTCTTGTAATTTTATAACAATAAAAACAGTAAGTTTGGAACGAATTTAAAAAATTTCAAAAAATAAAATTCTTAAAAAATTCTATTACAATTTTAAAAATACCGAAGATAGTAGTTATATTGGAGTGTATACGACGTTGACCTATATATGCATTGTTTGTCATAAGCCATTACAATATTCAAATTCGAAACTTGAATTAAACGGTCAATAATGTAGCTAAAATCATCAAAATATCGTATATAGGGAGGTACCGTTATATCGGAGCTGTGAGAAGACCTGAACCAACATAGACAATTGTCTGTCACAGGCTGTAGCATCCATTACGAACTTCAAATACATCTAAAACAATTTCGGTGAGTATTGTACATAAAATCGTAAAATACCGAATATGGGGAGGTACTGATATATGGGGCCTATACAAATACCTGCACCTGTATAGACAAATTTTTGTCACAGACTGAAGTTTCCATTATGAACTCTAAATACGTAATTTGAAACAATTCTGGTGAATAATGACTATAAAATCATCAAAATACCGAATATTGGGAGGTACCGTTATATGGGGGCTATACGAAGACGTGGACCTGCACAGACAATTTTCTGTCTTAGACTGTAGTATAGGTTTCGAACTTCAAATACCAAATTTGAAACAGTTTCGTTGAATAGTGTCGCTAAAATCATCAAAATAACAAATATCGGGAGGTACCGTTATATGGGGGCTATAAGAAAACGTGGACCTACATGGCCCATTTACGAACTTAACCTGCCTACTGGAAAAATAAACATGTGTACAAAATTTTAGCTCTATCGTTCGAAAGATAGCTTGATTACAACAGACAGACGGACATCGCTAAATCGGCTTAGAATTTTACGCTGATCAAGAATATATATATACTTTGTTGGGTCTGACATGATTATTTCGAGGAGTTACAAACGGAATGACAAAGTTAATATACCCTCCATATTATGGTGGAGGATATAAAAAATAAAATTCTATTGAAATTTAATTTCATATTGCAGCTTTTGGGTAGAACAAATGTTTCCCTTTGGGATGAAAAATTATTAGGAATGTTGTTAAAAATCCACGGTGTTCCATTCGTTTTTTGAGATTTTTTTTCAAACAAAATTATTGCGAGAAAGGCGTCATAAATACTACTTTCCACACCAAATATGACTTGACCAATGGCGAAAGGCGTCGCATAGTGGTGAGTGACATAGTATTTCTCTGGTCTTTCTTTTCTCTATAAATTTGATTAATTAAGCTCATCTCGAAAGAGACATAAGCGAATTCTCCATATCAATTTGTTGTTTTTGGTTTTAAATAGTTATTTATTAAATATTTCTTTTTGAATAGGTGTTAGACTCAAAAAGCTTAACAGATTTGTCGCATTTTTTCAATTTTACATTCTTCAAATAATTGCCTCAAACGACTTATTTCAACTTTTTCGGTACCATGAAAGATCATCGCTATTTATATCATGGTCATCACACAAAAAATCATACTTATGGTGACGCTTTTTGCACTGAGAACCAGGGGGACCAGGTTTATAACTGGGAATGCTCCGAATGTTCGTAGATGAGTAGTTACATGTAAAAATAACCATTCGCTTCCCTGGAGAACCATGAAGCATCATATTTAAAAACGCACACCCAACGTGAGTTTGGCGGTCAGACACCAATAAAGTAAAGTGCCCGGTTTGTGGACTGAAACAGCAATATAAAGTTAAAATCGATCAAATCTAAAGTTAATATCAAAAGATTTATAATAACATACATAGTTTTGTGGTATGATTCCAGAACCGAATGATTTGCATCAAATTGCTCTTCATACCAAAGAAAAATTGCTTCTTTTATGAAACCTGATATGGGTATATCCAACTTTCTTGTTGTTGCAGTATATATATTTTGGCCCGCCATGGGAAATTTTTTTGTGCTTCTGCATTGATCATGGGCAAACACACAACTCATAACGTTGTACTCCGCAGTATCAGCTAAACCATCGTCCCACATCTTAAAGGTGAAGGTAAATAGATTGACTCAGTATATTAGATCTATAACTCACCAGACTGGGCATTCGAACGGCTGGATAGAAACACTTCACTTGGCCTGATGCAACTTTATTTCTATAGTAATTGTGCTCGTCCATTATCAAACCTTTGAATGGCCTCATATCTTCTAGTTTCGTATCACCTTCACACCTCTTACTAAATGTCTGAAGTCCAAAAAATATATATTCACAATGCTCACAATCAAATATTCATTTACCTTTTTATGACCACAGGCTACATGTTTTCCTTGGTAGGGGCACATATTTTCATCGCAATAATCTATGCCTTCGCCACTTCCCAAGACACTTAGCTGCAAAACCAATACAGTTAAGCGTACATAATACATAGCAGCTTAAAAAGAGACTAAATGCTTAAATTGCATGTGGATGCTATTTAAATATTGAAAAATTATTTATTTCAAATAGATAATGTCACGATTTCGCTAAATAATACTTTTGACTATAAAGATATCACGAAAAATATTTACGTGTAAACTTTTAAACTCAAAGCCATCAAGCAAAGTTAATAAAATAAATAGTTTTAAAAATAATAATGAACAAGGGAAAAACGTTAAATTTTGCCGACATCGCTTATAATACCTTCTTATCACTGCATTCGGGAATGATATTGATACATATAGCATCATTAAGAAAGTTTGTAGAATTTCAGCTAAATTTTGGCACATACGTATTTTGTTAAATAAATAAATAACAGCTATTATCGATGGCTTAATTTTTTTTAATTACTTCTAATGTGGAAAATTAATAAAATTTGTCGGTGGGATTACGGGATCTGAACAAATGAAATATTGTTGGAAACATAATAATTCTCCCAGGTTGATTTAGAGTTAAATAAAAAATTATTTAATTTACTAAAAATTATGTAGAAAGAAGTGATTGAAACGATTTTTGCCGCTTATAAAAATGGTCAAATTTTACGTAAGTGAAAGAAGAAAGAACAATATCCGTGAAAGCACAGACGACATGTTTTGAACCAGATTCGCATTCGAGGAAAATCTGTGAAAAGAAGGATATTTTACTTTCATCCATAATTTAGACATTAACAATGTCTAAGCCGAAGTTCTGTACAACCTAACAATAGGAAGATGGAGCAAGGTACACATTTAGCTAAAAATTTAGCGTGTTACAATCTGAGAATATGGTAAATCGTGGAAAATCTTCCAACAGATTTTCCTATTCATTTAATTTAGTCGTCAACGTTGGAAACATAACATGTATATATATATATATATATATATATAAATCAATTGTTGTTTGTTGGTAACGGAATCAGTTGAAAACGGCTGGACCGATTTGCATAATTTTTGGTACAAACGTTTGTCATACCCCGAGTTAGGTTTTTAAAGAAAAAAATAATGACCACGCCTCCTTTTACGCCCACTATTTCGATTTATCTAAAATCCTTATATTTCCCAAATAATGAAGATTTTGATTTAAGAATTATTACACGAGATACTGTTAACCTTCCCTCCAACCCTAAGTATTTGTTTGGGGGCTGAGGAACTGACCACGCATACTTTTTAATCTATCTATACATCTATATATAAATGAAAGTTGTGTTAGTTACTACGCTTATAACTTAAGAACCGCTGAACTGATTTTAATGATTCATACAAATTCGGAATTGTCTCTTATCCGAAAAGGATAATATCCAAAAAAATCGCGTAAAAATGTGATATGTTAACATTTTCATTTTGACTTTTGAAATGTACAATAGTAATGTTTTATTTTGCATGATTTTTTCCATTTTGACTTACTTTTTTCTAATGTACATTTGTAGTGTTTTTTATATTTTATTTTCGAATATTAATACCAATCAGCGAACACGTTGAAGATTTTTTCAATTTGTTATTCTTCTTTTGTCAATTTTTTTCAATTTGTAATATCATATTGAATTCAGTGGATTTTTTGTGAACAAAATAAAGAATAATTTTTCACTATATACAATTTTCCACCAAAAAATGAAATAAGTGCGAAATACGATGGTAACTGACATCTACCTTTCAACTCCAGGGCCTACATCGTGCTTCAGCTGGAAGATGCGCAGACATTTAAACAAACAAAAATTACCGAAAAAGACTAATGGGGCTTATTTCAAAGCGTGGCCCTACTTCTTTCAAGTGACAATAATCCGTCCAATGAGAGCTCAAAGCTCAAAATGGATTTTTAGTAAGAAAAGGATTTCTATCCTTCCAAAAATTCTTCCTGAACATTTAAGATACCTTAAATCGCTTTTGCAGGTCATGATATCGGTCATAAATAACCATCGTATGATTTAAGCCATTTTTGGAGTCTTCGCCACTTTCTTCTATTTTTGGCCCTTATTTGACATCTTTCTAAGGGGGTAGAGAACCTCTTCGCATAAAATTTTCGGAGTAGGGCCCATATTGGTCTTGACCACTAAAAAATTGTATTTATGCAGACCCTGGGGTAAGGAACCATCGTACACATAATTGCCACATAGAAATTTATTCATGTAAAGTCCCCACATTGGAGTATCCCAAGTCCACTTGCACATCTAATGTGTGGTCAGAAAAGAAAAAATTGTATTCTATTGAATTTTTAACCCCCAAGAGAATATTGGTTGGGAACGTAGATTTGGGATATACATCTATATGAAATAAATTGTGAAAACATGAACAAATTACAAATATAAGAAAGTAGCACGGGACCGAATATTTGTTGAATCATCATTGAATTATACTATGATGAAAAATATGGACTTAAATGACAAATAAAATTAGTTCCCATGTCACGGTAATGGGTGTAAAATAGTAATTATAATTGACTATTCTGAAATCAGTTTGACCTCAATTATGTGGCTATTTTTACTTATTTAAATCACGTGTTTTTTTTTCAGTTTGACATGCTATGTTGTTCTGGTATATTTTCGATTTGGCCTCTATTTGTCATCTTGGATTATAAGGGGTGAAGAAAGTTTTCAATGTAGGTCGATGTTTCGCATTTTACCATATTTCAAAGGATTTGGCTATAAATGTGTATTTGGGGGTGAAAATCTTACACAAAAAATTCAACATATCTACAAATTTTAGAATTTTCTCCATGTAATAGAACCCCCTCAAGTCCACCTTTTGGTTTTGGTTTTAAAAAAGTAATTAACTTTGGTTATTCTTAAATCAATAAGCCCTCAATTATGAGGTGTACAAAGTACAGTAAATTCCAAATTACTGCTCATATGACTAAAAATTAAAAACTAATCGACCAGTACGTGAACATTTATAACATTCATATCTTTGAAAAATTATGCTTTGACAAATATGCATAATAGACAAAAAAAAAAAATATATTTATATATTTTTAGCTAAATGTGTACCTTGCTCCACCTTCCTATTGTTAGGTTGTATATATATATATATATATATATATATATATATACAACCTAACAATAGGAAGGTGGAGCAAGGTACACATTTAGCTAAAAATTTAAGGTGTTACAATCAGAGAATATGGTAAATCGTGGAAAATCTTCCAACAGATTTTCAAATTTTAGAAGTTGTGGGTCATAGATGCCCAATGTAATAGTTGGTGAGAGCGATATATATATATATATATATATATATATATATATATATATATATATATATATAACCATGGTACAATGATATCAAGTTAGGGCTATGATACCATATGATTTTAATTTTTTTTATGACTTGACGACGAGAATTTTGTACGGGAACAAATGCAAATCAATGCGAATAATCCGTTGTAAAGTGGACCCAACTGCTGAGAACGGCGTTTTTGGGATGTTTTTGGTGACCTCTCAATACTGGCTCGTACGGCAGCGATATTCTCGGCCGATCGCCTTGGACTGACGCTTCAAGCCAAACAGGTAGACCTCTATACTTGCAATTTTTTCAAAGTTGGCCTACCTTCTCTTCATTGTACCATTATTATAACAAACAACCAAAAAAAAAAGAAATGGAAAATTACTGTTTTTTTTCATGAAATAATTAATCAAATATTCAATTTGCAATTAAAAAGTAATGAACTCTTCTATGTTGACACTCTTATTGCAGTTATGCAGCAAAAGTGTATTTCTCAAACTATAAGAATTCATCTTATTGCGTTTTTTGGAGCAAATATAATTCATATCTGAAAATATTTGTTCGCAAAGATACGTTGAGAGAAATTAAGACAAACACTTCAATGAAATCTTATTTATTTCAGGATATATAGTACCATCCAGATTTTTCCAGTATTCTATATTATTAAAATTACCTGGGAAATCTAATTCATTTCGAAGTATAATAAGTTCTGTTTGGATTGGAAACTCGTACTTTAGTATATTCAAAAGGGTTTTGAAAAATATCCATTAAATGCTGAATATTTTCAAAATCGTTAAACCTGTCATTAAACTTATTAAAAAGCGTTTCAATTATATCCAAAAATTCAAACTTTTTCGAGATTTTCTCCTTGTCGTAAATCACAGATGTTTTCGGAAAGTCCGAAAAGTCTTCTAAATCAATTTGAGCTGCAAGTAAAAATAGCTGAGTTTTAAAATCTGAAAGAATTTTAAACATTTCAGAAATACTATTATCTTTTCCTTGCAACTTCACATTCAACCCATTCAAAATGCTTCAAATGTCTGTTAAAAACGCCATGTCTAAAATAAATTGATAATCTTGTAAATATTCTTTTTGTTACAAATTTTCTATGAGTCAGTGCATTATGACCGCCCCTTATCCTATTATTTATCCGCACAGTAGCCTTCATGACCGGATGCTCGGATATAAATTTAGAAGCAAGAGCAGCCTGGTGTATTATACAATGCAAAGTATAAACCTCAATTTTATTTTTTTTTCATCTGGCCTACAAATCCATCACGTTAGCCTGTCATAGTGTTCACACCATCTGTACAAACGCCAGCTAATTTGTTAGAATCAACAACGGAAAGAAGTTTTTCGTTGACGAAATCGAACAATAATTTGCCGGTTACATTGCCATAAAATGTTTCAGCAGAATATATTGACTCGAAAGCATTGTAATTTATATCAACGCATTAAATGCAGATAACTAGTTGACAAAGGTCATTAATATCGGTGCTCTCATCAATACAGAATGAAAAAAAGTCGCACTTTTTTCATTTTACCCTTAACATCGATTCCACAATAGCACCCAAATAAAGGGATCGCCGGGTTATACTATTGCGGGACAACGGTAATTTTTTAATAAAATTAGTGTTAAAATTAAGTTTTTGAAAAACTTGACACAATATATTTTTGACAAACGGCCCATCTGAAAATGGCCTTCCCTTTTTTATAATATATGAACTTATTAAGTTAGATAAACCCATTTTTAAATTCTCCTCCACCATATCTTCATCATTATCTCTATATTGAT